CGCTTTTAAGTTGTATAATGGCCTCATAAGTGCCAAAAAAAATTATTTAGAATTAAAAGGCATCAGAATCCCATTAAGTACTAAAACCAGAATATTTTAAAATCCCCGAAAGATCGAGGAAAATAATATTTGCGCGTACAAGTCGGCTGGGTCCCTCTAAAAAATTTAAAGGAGGGAATCTTATTTGGAAATTTTATAGGAGAAAAAAAAACTCAAAAATAAATGCGGGAATAATAGACATAACAGACAAAAAAATTGACATGCCAGTACCAGAAGTAAATGTTATCGAATGTGAAATCTGACAAGGGGCGAAACCATTCAGTATCGCTCAGGACGACGCTGAAGGGTTAAACGAAGCCATGATTGGGCTTTTTAATACTACAAATTCAGACGCAAAGGTCAAAAATAATGAAATTATAAAAGAAAGAAATGCTGTAGGCGGTAAAAATAATGATGATATAAAGAACAGTATTGAAAATTTCAAAGATGTTAAGAAATCGGATATAGTGACTCGAGTTAGCAAAATAATGGAAATCGTCGAAACATTTGGCTGTAACATGGAGGAATGAAACTACATCAGGAATTTCATAGAGTACAATTCGTTCGTATTTGGCCTCGACGGCGAGCCTCTAAATGCTACAAACTTACTTAAGCATCGAATAATAACGGCAACAGAGAAGCCAATAGTTGCCAAAAGGGTACGCTATCCAATAAAACTAAAGGAAGAGATGCAAGTAGAAATAGATAAACTACTGCAGCAACAAATAATTGAGCCATCGACATCCCCATATAACTCAAATATGTGGATTGTCCCGAAAAACGTGGGACCAAACGAGGAAAAACGCTGGAGGGTCGTAACAGATATCCGGCTATTGAACGAAATAACAGTTGGTACGTGCTACCCACTGCCATTCCAGAATAAAATTTTGGAAAATTTAGCAGCTGCAAAATATATAACCGTGGTAGATCTGAAGAGCTGGTTTTTCCAAGTAGAGATTCACGAGGAGGATGCTCATAAAACTGCGTTCTCACAACCAAACGGACATTACCAATATAAACGAATGCTGATGGGATGCATAGACTCGCCAAGTACATTCATGCGAGTGATAACACTGGCACTAGCAGGCTTACAAGGACACGAGATAGAGGTATATATGGATGACATCATGGTATTCGCAGAAAACTTGGAACAACACGAGATAAGATTCAAAGGGCTCTTAAAACGGCTAGCTGATGCAAACCTCACAATAGAACCAAGAAAATGCCAATTCCTTAGAAAAGAAGCAAAAGTGCTCGGTCATGTTGTAGGCAACGGCCAGATCAAAACAAATTCAAAAAAAATTGAAGCAGTAAAAAGTTCTCCTAAACCAACAAATGCGAGGAAAATGAAACGATTCTTTGGGTTGGCAGGGTACTATCGACGATTCACCAAGGATTACGCAAAAATAGCCAAACCTCTCTCAAAGCTTACAAGAAAAACAGCTGAATTTAAATGGGAAGAGGAACAAGAACATGCATTTACAAAACTTAAAAACGCTCTGTGCAGTGAGCCAGTGCTAAGAGCTCCAGATATAAACGAACCCTTTATCGTAACAACCGACGCATCCGACTATGCTATCGGAGCCATTTTAAGCCAGGGAGAGATAGGCAAAGATCACCCTTGCGAATATGCATCCAGATGCTTAAAGGGCAGTGAATTACGATATCCGACATACGACAAGGAATTATTGGCGATAATGTACGCCAAGGAGCAGTTTAGGACATATTTGTTCGGTCGTAAATTTACAGTCGTAACTGACCATGAACCACTAAAACATTTTCACACATCAAAGAAACCGGACCTGAGATTCACAAGATTGAAGGCAGAACTCCGTGGATATAAGTTCGATGTTGTTTATAGACCTGGACAGAAAAATAAAGCACCGGATGCTCTTTCTCGCAATCCAGTACTCAAAGAAGGGGAAGAAAACCCAGAACTACCACGCCGGGAGCTATACGAGCTTGCGGAAAAACAGGAAAGGGACAATCACGAAGACATAAATGCACCGACAGCACGAATATTTAAAATTCGTACAAGGAGACAGAGGAATCTCATACGAAAGAACAGGAGAGTAAAACTCGAAACGTCCGACTCAGACAAGCCAGACGAGAAGGCAATTAAAAAGAAGCCCAGAAAACTTAGAGAAAGCGAAAAGGTATCAAGTACTCACAACTGCAGTAGTAGAGAAACAGGATCAGAACGGGAAATGACGGAAAAACTAAAAGATAAGGCAGATAAAAACACCCTTACAGCGGCAAACGATAAAGAAAAAATTCTGTCGCAAGGACCAGCGGACGATAAACTGGCGTACATATGCACGGAGAAAAACGTGGAAAAAGGGGTAAAAACGACTAGCACACCAATTATCAACAAGGGCGTAACAGAGAAAACACAACACAGAACCCGTAAACGACAGTTAGATACTCTACACAGGAAAATCGCAGATTTTTCTAACATCGCCAAGCAACCGCACAACTCAAAGGAAATTATTATCGCGCATTGTGATACACCGACAGCAACGCAGAGGGAAACCGAGCGAGATGAACATTGGGGTTACCAACTAGCGCGGAAGAGCGAGGCAGCAGAAAGAGCAGAGAAAGAGGGAGAGCGGAAAGCTAGGAAAGCAATAGGGGAAACAGCAGCAACAAAAACACCTAACAGAGATAAAGGAAGTGAGGAGAAATCGGAAAATAAAAGAGGGGTACATGACCAAAGAAAGAGTAGAGCCAAAGGTAGACAGCAAGTAGATGAACGGGGGACGGAAATGACCGAACAAAGCCAAACGGCACCGAACGAACATGAGAGCCAACAATTGCCAGATACACAAGTACCCAACGGCGGAAACAATAAGTATAATAATAACAAAGGTCAAATTACCAATTTAAGGTCAATATTTATCAATTAACTAATCGATTCTGAGCAAAGGTCTTAATCGACGTTGAGAAGAAAGACATCAAAGGAAAAGAGGGCATAAGAATCGATGTACGGGAAAGCGATAGCACACCAACCGCAATGAACGAAGAAGAGGATGCAAAGATTCGAGTATCGGGGACCCAATGCGCAGAACCTAACAGACAGCTAATAATGATCAATGTCCCTAAAGACGGAAGTTGTCTGTTCCATTGCCTCAAACTTCCATACGGATTGACAGAATCAACAGACGAGCTCAGAAAAATTCTACGCGGGTCAGAATGGATAAATAAATGTAAGGACCCAAAAGGAACCAAACAAATATTAAATAACAGCCATGAATTCGGCGACGGAGAATGTGCTTTTATATTTTCACAAGAATGTGAAGCAAACATATGTATAGACCTACAAGTATCATCCGATAAAATAGTATACCAACAATTCATGGGAGGAAAAGACGCAGAATTTAAATACATGCATCTTGGAAACCAACACTATCAAGCCCTCGTAAAAGGAACTAGCGGCGATTACTCACCCAAATATGATAATGAGAATCAAAACGATGAGTCCAATACCCAGGAACCTCGAAATAACACAAAAGGAAATTTTGAAGGAGATAGCAACGACTAAACGGTAAACAAACAAGACGAAGAGAGCGATGAAGAGGACGCATGGGATACGGAGAGCGAGGAAAAGAGTGAGTGAGAGGAAGAAGGAGTGTGGGAGCCCAACGAAAAGTGCAGAAGGCCCTCACCTGAATCACCACTCCTACCAGACCCTAAAAGCGACTGTAAGCCATTAACTGAAGAGAATACAACGACGATAGTTATAACAATATTAATAATGTTAGTAATAATAATGATAGTAATATAATAATAATAATAATAATAATAATAATAATAATAATAATAAAACTTACAAACTGGTATTGAACATTTTCATTTGATAGTGATTCATCAAAATCCAAGAAGTCATTTATGTCTTCAAAAGGCATAAATGGTAAGAGGTCTAATTTTTCTGAAGACAATATGGGTCCCGTTTTTCCTACAGGCGTTTTATTTTGCAGCAAATTTAATATTTCCTGTTGATGAATTAGAATAGCTTCCAGAGTTTCTCTACAACAAGCTGATAAATCGTTATAGTAGTATAAGATTCAAATCTTTATCGTATTATTCTATTTTGATATTTCAATCATACATACAACAACATTCTTTGCTGTGATTCTTGCTTACTTTCATGGGGATACTGGTAGATGAACTTGCTAAAGTAGTGAGAAACTTTATTATAGATACTATTTAAGAATTAAATTAAAAACATAAGAACTTAGAAAATTTATTACATGATGGTCTTTTCAAAACTTTAATGTTTGATTTCTGTAAAGATCTCGTCGATGAGATTTTAATTGGTTGCTTGCCAACAATTTCACAAGTTGCAGTATTTTCTAATGGGTCACAATAATTATCTTTAATTTTGTTACCATCATTGGATGAATTTTCACTAGTTTCAATAATTTCGTTAACATTACTTGATACAATAACTTCCTCCGATAAATTTTCTGTGATTTCGATATTTGCATCACCATCGATTGCTAAAATAATTATTGCCAAATAAAAATTTAAACTAAGCGTTTTAATTAAAGATATGTAAGTTAGTCAAAGCAAACTATTATACATTATTTAACAACATAGATTAGATACCTGATGAAGTTGATGGTTTATCCTGTAATATGCTTGTGTTGCTCTGAAGTACATCTTTACATTTAGATAAACTGACTTTGTTAAAGTTGCTTGGGAAAATTTTTATGATAGCAGGTGAGGAAGAACATGTTTTTGATAGGGAAGAAGGATTTGTCACAAATATTTGGGTAGGTGTTTTGGGATCCATCTTTAGTTTGGACATCAGCAATGCCTGCACTCGTTTGCTCTGCTGAATCTTTGAAAAAGTTGACAGACTCGATGAACTGGAATCCATCTTATTTTTGTGTTACCAGTAAAATACTTTTAAAATCAACTTGTTGCACTCTTTTGGTTTATGTCCATAGGTATAATGTTTGTCACCTTCACATACATATAACCTCTGCAACTCATCCACAAAACTTTACAACCTTCGACTTTCGAAGATATATGCGATTGTTGTACGCTATGTATACTAATATCATATCCGTGAAATTTATTCAGAAATCTACGTGTATTCTTTATTAATGGAAAATCAAAATTAACGACACACAAAGTGAAGGAAGCAAATAAACAACTGACTTTCGGACTTCTTTTTCTCCCATGTCACAAAAATATAAACACACGCGCTGCCTCCGCCAGCAGGAATCAGAGAAGGTCTGTTTCTTTTTTTTTCTTGCTTGCCTAGGGATTTTTTTGTGGTTATGTGTGCACGTGCGCGCGCGCAGTTTGAATACACTGTTTGGATCAATAACAGAACTAGTTTCAGAAAATATTTGTATTTATTTATTAATGCAATCGAATTGGGCACGTACGTATATTTCTTTTATTATTTAGCAGTATAATTTTTTTCTACGATTGTACTGCATTATTTATGCTTGAATTTTTTCCTCAAGTATTACTTATAATACGCTGGTTCACAACATTTTTTTTTAACAAAATAACAAAACAGTGGATTACGATTCAAAAACTATTAAAAAAAAAAAAAAAAAAACTCAAAGTGCTTAAAAAGTATCAAAATATTAAATATTATACTAAGAATAGCGATAAAACAGTTTTCATTACTACTTGTAATACAATGCTTAAAAAAATTTTTATCATGCCTTACAATGAAAAAAAAATTTAGATTGAAAAAATAGTCAAAGTATTATACTTAAATACTTTAAATTAAGCTTGAATATCCAAGATGATTAAATAAGTCTATTGATACCTTCGGAAAATGTTTTAAATACTTTCATAATTAAATATGTGAAAATTTTACATTTTTACCAGAGAAAAAGGAATATATATGCTATTAATACTTTTTTTTACAATTGTTACATTTTACTATTTTAATATTTTTCATCGTTTTTCTTGAAGCGTATTTTTGGAAATCTAGAAATAATAACTGTTTCAAAGCAAAAGTATTCTTGAAAAATTATTTTTTTAAATATAACTTAGATTTTGCTACCCCTTAGATGTCAAATGTTAATGTTGCGTGGAAAAAATTCCATTTACATACGTTTTAAAATGTCTTTTGAATACAAAGTGGTTTGAACAATGAGTTTTTTGAAACTGATAATTTTATCTTGACAACTTTTTGTTGAAATATCAGATATTCAGACCAAAAGTGACACATGTCACACCAAAGTAGGGGAAAAGTGCAGGCTAATAAAATATCCAGTTTTATCAAATGTACAATCGTTATCATTCCTACGTAAGCCTTTTTGTAATTTCTAAGAAGTTTTCCATAAATTTGGTATACCTGAATTTCTTGTACGCCCCACATACTTATCATCATATACATCACCCTCTCTTAAACAAAGAAATATTAATTTACAGTCATGAAAGTGTTTCGTATATCAAAAAATTAATTTTTTTTTAAATTTTCCGTAAACTTGTTGCTAATGCTTTAATTTTCTGTTTCAAAAAATTTTTACTAAATTTGAAACCTTCTAGTTCAAGTATGAACTTAAAGTCGTACATATACGTATAAAAATATTTGTATTAATCATTTTTTCTCTGATTACCAGTTAAAACAAGCTTTTACAAAAATTTTTCCAGTAAAAACAATTAATTATAATTTAAAACACTTTATTTAAATGTTTAATTTAAATTTNTTTTTTCCGCCCTCGGGTGGTTTTGGGAGGCTGGTACTTCCTCGGGCGAAAAAGCAGTTTTCCGATACTCGTTCGAAAAGTCTCCTTTACGAACCTCGTTACGGACCTCGCCTTCGGCTCGGGCCGCAAACCTCTCGGTTCGCAAACAAAGACCTTTCAAACTCGTAGGAAAACTACTATTTCGCAATAGTGTGCGGAAAATGGATGTTTTCCACACTGGTATTAGTGTGGAAAATCGATTTTCCCACATAGTATGCGACAAAGGTGTGCGGCAAAGGTTTTTCCGCACAGTGTGCGGAAAAGGTGTGTGGCAAAGGTTTTTGCCGCACAGTGTGCGGAAAAGGTGTGTGGAAAAGGTTTTGCCACACACCGGAAAAAATTTTGCTACACACTGGAAATCAAAATTCAAATCTATTTTGTACCTATTTCCCTCACACATTGCGAAAAAACTTGTACGCAACTCGTGCGGGACGATTTCCCACACTCGAGTGATAGACTCGCACTCGTGGCCGGTGACAGTAACTCGTACCTTGCGATCACACTCGTGCTACGCACTCGTGTGCTCAACTGGTACTCGTTCCCGTCAACTCCGGCACTCGTGTGAGTCAATCACTTCTCGTGCGGGAAATCGTTTTTTCCGCACTTGTTACGTAAATAACTATTTTAGTACTGTATTGTGAGAAGTGATGGAAAAAAATTTTTTTTACATAAAAGTATGCACATTATTCAGAAAAAAAAAAAAATGTTTTTTCAAAGAGTTTGAAAATCCATAAAAAAAATTGTGCCCGAGTCTGAAAATGCCTCACTAATCCCCCAAGCTCTTAAACCGATTCTCCTCTCGAAGATTTCCAGCCTCTCACTATCCAAAAGAAAAAGTCTCTCGCGTTTGATAAAAAAAAAGGCTCCTCGCCAAACGTAGAAGAAAAAAAAAAACTTTCACAAGCGTAAGTAAGAAAAAAAATGAAACTCTCGAGTCCAAGAGCAAAGAAAAAAAAAAAAAAATTTTGTGTGTAAATGTACGATTGATCATCCATGGAAACAGCCTACACAACACCTAGCCACACATTACCACGCGTAATCCGCGAAGCAAAGCACAAACCCGTACCCATCCTCCCCCACATGTGCATATCCACATCCCGTCTATATACAGACCACCAGCCACGCGCTACCCCATACTTGGCGGTCGATCCGCGCAATAACTGCCGAGCACTACAAAGTTATAGCTCCAACCGAGACTTGGTTGCATTATACAACCGCGGAGTTGTCGCCCAAACTACCGCGTTTTCCAAACACAAAATCGCAATGTCGAGCCGGCACCCCCCGCGGCGGCCGTGGTGTAATTTCAAGCGGTCCACTTTCGCGTACATTGCACGCGTACGTGTATATGTACATGCGCAGTAATTTAAGCCACGGAGCGACCAGTTATAAATCGATGTACAGTCCCTCCACTCTGAGAAACAAACGGGCTGCGGATGGGGGGGCTTGACGTAGTATCGTGCGGTGCCGATCGTCCAAATCTGTCATCGAAGCTCTTTCGCGAACGCGTGTATGCCATCTCGGTGGGTTTATTGGTATAGTAATAATCAGGGGTACGGGTGTGTACGAGTTAGATAACAACGATGCCTCGTCGTGTCTCCCTCGTCTCCCTGGACGTTACCGATGCTGTATACGTGCGTTACCCTGCCCACCTAGTGTTTATCCAGGACAGGGGGGGGGGTTGATTGCCACCTGCCACCCGTGGATTGCTACCCCTCGGAGTTGTCGAGCTTGTGCGCTAATGAAGATACCTCCCCCCCCCACCCCGCCGTTTTAAGGGCCCATATGGAGTGGAATTGCGAGTTTTGCTGGTTTATTTTTTTTTTTCGTTCGCCCCTGAAAGTGGGTTTCGCGGTGATTAATTGACAGAGTCCGGTGCGAGGGGATTTTGTCACGTGCATGGATGAATTTTAATTTTTCTTTCTTTTTTTTTTTTTTTTTTTTCGTTTATTTTTTAATTGGAAAGCATTTGGTGATTGTATTGAAAAGTTTGAGGGTTTACTCTGCTCGAGTGAAAACGTTTGTGACTTTATACGTTTGATGGTCTGGAAACAGTACATGGACTGAAATCAAACGTGATAAGTCAGAAGTACGAAGATTTTGCCTTTCGATCTGCACCGCTAGAAAAGTTTAATGAAGTATAAAGTTAACTACAAACAAGTGATTGAATTTAAATTCTTCAATATCTTATTTTAATTTACTTTACTTGTATTTTTTTTTTTTTTTTTTTTAAATACTTGTCTTCTATTGAGTTTTAATTTTTGATTGAGTACGTATAGTTTTGAAACGCGCACTTGGATTCATTTTTATTTTATTAAATGCTAAATGTATCTTACACATACATACATTTTTGAACGTGTTTTTAAAACTAAAAAATTGATTTACCTACTTGTAGCTTTCTTCACGCGTGTTTGTATTAATTTTGCTCGAAAATTTCTAGTGCGGTGGTTTTGCGAGGGTGACACCATAGTATGGAGTTTAATTGTCCATAAATATGAGAAATAGCGCGCGTACTGTACGTTATGGAGTGTTTATTATTATTTTTTGTCTGAAACCGTATATTTGTTATTCCACGAATTGAACAATTCGACAGTCAACTCAGAATTCCGATACAAATTCAAGTAAAAGGTACTTAACCCTGGATAGATTTGGATTATCGTATATTAAATTTTTTTTATGGACCACATTAATTAAGTATCCCTCCTCTGATAAAAATTATTTAAGAGTAGGCACGTATGACCAATCGGCCTATTTTTATTAGAGATCCATAAAAAAAAAAAAAAAGATTAAAGGTGTCCATGTACCCTCCTTTGATGCCACATTTGTTTTTTACCACATATTCTTGTTGCACGTACTCATAAAATTTTAAACACTCGAATCGAGATACAGATATATGTATCTTAATTTTCATCCAAAAGATGTTGGAGGATATAGTTTCATTGAGATAACGACTGTAACGACGATAAGCTCCATCCGATGCCCCTGTACCCATCACCATAGACTATTATGATAAACTGGGCATGTATATCAAAAGTCACCGTGCACGTACGGGCCATTTTATACTTGCATGAAAGGGATATGATATGGCCTCTTCATCACTATGTAGTTTGGTAACCCTGAGCGACCAACCCCCAACCCCCTACGTCCAATATATAATACGACCCATACAGACGTAAGTTAAAGCATAGTACATACATGTATGGCTTGCACATTGTTATCATACGTGTATACGTATAGGTAGAGTTGACGTTGAAGTATCGGGAGCTGTCTCTCTCTCTCTTTCTCTGATATGTATGTGACACGGCATGCATTATGTTGTACACAAAGACCGCTTTTTATCCTCTCCTCCTCCCGTGCGCGACAGCCGCGAGGCTTTTGCTCTAGACACGCTGACGTGTCTGCCGAAATTC